AGCGTCGTTCCGGAAAGAAAATCTTAGCAAAGTGTTTGATTACTCGAAATATTCATCACTTTGCGTATGGATTTATCATTACAGAAAGCAGTTATAGCGTGTTAGACGTTCGGAAGGCGCTGTGTCACTGTGCTGCTGGTGTTTAGCCAAGATATTTGGCCTCGCAAATATTTGGAGATTGTCTACAGCTTCTAACCACTGCGCTCTACTCTATCGGCTCTTGTTACATTTAATTAATGCTATGTACATTTGTAGTATCCGTTCGATGTTCCTTGATATCATCGAGTCTTTATTCGTTTGTTTTTCCATTTTATTCTCTTTTTCCTTATTTTATATCTAAATGTTTTCTTTATCATTATTTCCCCTCTTCCTCCCCCAATATAAGTATAATAGAAAAGAGAGTATATATGATTTATTTACATCGTATTATGACGTATTTATTTAATAAACGCAAAGCTCAGGTAAACCACCATGTCCACCCATGTTAATTTCATGCAAGGATAGAAGAGGACACCATTAAAAAAAAAAAAGAGAAAAAAAAGGAAACCGCATGTGCGGTTTCGAAGAACGTGGTGACCCGAACCGACCTCGATCGACCTAACCGATTATTAGGTTTCGTCCTTTTATTTTCTTCTAACGTGCGTACTTTGTGGCGACGTGCCCTAATAGAGCGAATCGATGCAAGATTAATACAGTAATTGGGCTGAATGTTTACGCAACCAAGTCCATTATCTCTGCATCGTTCTTCAACATTTTACTCGAGCTAACGAATTTCATAGAATACGCATTTTTTTTTTCTTTCTTTTTTCTCCTTTTTTTTTTATGAAAAACTGTCCGACGGATAATTTAAATGAAACGATTTTATACGCGTATTTTGTTTCTCTCTCTCTCTATCTCTATCTCTCATTTTTTGAAGCACTTAATATTCCTATCCGTAGCAGGCCAAACGATGTTCATAAAATTCACGTTCTCCATAAATAAATATATTACCGGGTGGAAAAAGGATGAGGCAGGACGATGACGATGGTAATTCATTCAATATTTGGCAGGATATTTAACGCTATACGCGACGACATGTTGGCGAATTAACGTCATAATTCGACGTCCGCGATGTTGTTTACGTTGCTTTTCCGCATACATATCGGAAATTAAACTATAAGCAGTATCTCTCTCTCTCTCTCTCTCTTGTTCGACGATGCGAGGATAAGGTCGGTTAAGGGATATCATCCTACTTCAATACGACGCGACGTACATCCTACTTTCTACACGCGTGCTATCTAACGAGAGGACCTAACGAGGAGTTATCTCTAACGGGTGGTAAAAACCTTTCCAATTTCATTGATTATGAAATACAAAATATAAACTAATCGACACCTAATTAAAAAAGTAACAAGAAATAGGGTATAAGGATGCATAGTTAAAGAGTCCTGTAAATGCAAAGCAATCGATCTTTTTTCCCTGTTTTGGAAAAGCTTGATGACCTAGCCGTTAGGAAAGTACGGATAGGCAAACACGACTACTACTACTGCTACTACTACTACTACTACTACTACTACCACTACTACATGCGAAAGCAAACGCGAGACTTTGATCGGAACTCAAAGCACGAGTTACGCGGGTATTAAGCTTTCGCTCGTATATCCGTGAGCCCGTGTCACGTGGTCACCCGGTACGTGAACGGTTATAATGTATGGCCTAGTCAGGTTCGGCATGGTCCAGTAGGGGGAGTTTGGTTGACAAATCATTAACTATGCATCGAGCCGGCCTGCAAATACTCGTTACTAGTGCTTCCCCGTTCTGTGCCACCCTCACTGGGAGCGGCCTGCCTGCCACCCATCGCGAGCTACGGACGCCTCTCTACGGGCACGGCGATGGCCCGACGACGGCCCGACGACGGCCCGACGACCTAGCCAACCCCTAAATACATCGCTCTAACCATTATGCAGCATTATAACGTCGATGCGCGCGCTCGCCACGACCTATCGATATTTTATGAGGACCCCCGTCCTCCTCCTCCTCCTCCTCCTCCTTTTCCCTCTTTAATCGCAACATTGTACTTCACCTTTTGTCCAAAGATTATTCAACGAAACTTGCAAAACTTCAACGTTTTGAATCGTCCTTTGGCATCCAACTCTCAACGCGACGAATTTTTCTAATAAGTATTCAACCATTTCTTCTATATATTGAATCAATGTCTCGTAAATATTTAACAAATATTATTATAAATAAGGTGCACATCGTGAAAATAAGAGAAAATAATAATAAACGAGGATGAGAGGTGAAAATTGTTAAAAGGAAAGAAGATAGCTGGTAGCTGCGGTTTCGAGGCATTCGTATGTACATGGGAATTTGTTGTCCGTTATGCGGCGTGCATAGAGAAAGATAGATAGATGGAGGGATAAAGGATGGTAGGGCGATATCGAGCAGACGAAGGTTAGGGTATAACGCGAGGGTCGGTACCAGCATACGGCGCCAAGCTGGAACGCAACCCCCCCCCGGCCCGCCGTTTCACCGGTTGAAAGGAGAAAGACGAACGCGAGATAGAGAGAGGAGGAACAAGAGGAAGAGGTGGAGAAGGACGGAGGGTGAGCGAATTCGCAGCATTAAACATGGTGGACTCGCGCATTGGTTGCGCAGTAGCTGGGCGTTACGGACCGCACCATCGACCAGCGAACTATACGCGGTACTGTACACCAACCGTCCTGCGGCGAGTCCGCTTTCATCCCCTCTTGCTATCAACCCCCTCCACTACGCTCCAACTCTTTCCATCTCTTACTCTATTTCCTTCTATCTCTTCTAGTTCCCTCCTTACAAGCTCAGGTGGAAATGGAGTAGAGATGGTTGCGTGGATACGTGCGTGGCTAACCTTGCATGTCGTTCTTAATCCATTGCCATCGGTACTTTCTTCAAAGTCGAATATCGACGAAGAATGTCGACGAACACAATCGCGACGACCAAAATTCTAAGACTTGACATTTTTTAAATAATCAACTTTTACTTTTTTCTTTTAACGTAACTTATTGAATTTTCGAGAAAAGGGTAAACCCTGAAGAAGAAGAAGAAGAAGAAGAAGAAGAAGAAGAAGAAAGGGAGATTGCCCTGCGGTTTTCACGATCCGCCAACATAAGAGAAATAAAGAGGGTGGACGAAGAGCTAGGAAGATCCGTTGGAAGAGAAGATGCGCGAGTATAATAAAGGGTAAACATTCCTCCGGCGGGCCAACCCCTTTCCGCCGAAGGGTCCTTTGCGATTTCGTGAGATTTTCAGTTAATTTTCTGGTTCCTCTTATGGATCACTCCATCAAGCATCCCCTACCAACTTTCTGGGGGCTATCTCTCGTCCACCATTCGAATTCTCCGACAAAACCCCTCCCACTTCGTAAGAGTTTTCAACCCTTCCAACGAAGCAGCCTGGTATAATATTCAATTACATAGCTGCAAGTAAAGTCAAACAAGCCCACGGGGCCTGCAAATCTCTCTCCTTCCTGTTCTGGGCTTGGTCGAGACTTCCGACCGGCTGAACGGGGGTGTATAGAAACTATATCTATATATACGGAAAATGGGAATATATATATATATATATTATATCTGTGTATAGGTCTGTATATATATATATATATAGTTATATATACAGGTACATACAAACGCGCTACGTTGCTCTACATCGCTTGAACGTACCGGTTTCTCTCTACCTTCCGGAGATGCTTGCCTACGGTAACAAAGAGAATACGAATATCTGTTCTAAATGAAAAAGGATTATCTAACGCATTTATATTATTTTTATTTGATTTTTTTTTCTATTTTCATTTTGTTCAACGTAAAAAATATCAAAACATCTAATACAATAATGATTTGAAACGAAATATAATGGCCATGATCCGATAGAATTGTGTCGACGACAACGACGAAATTGAATTCGCGTGGCAACACAGCGTAATATCCTACGTTTGTCTCTCTGTGGGTAGAGGAAACCCTGTCTCTCTCTTCCTCTCTCTCTCTCTATCAAGGCTCGTAACTACCCCTTGACGTACCACCGGCAAGCAAGCAGAATGAATTAAATATGAATAGACAGAACGGTTTGCTAGCGAAGAATGACGAGAGACTAACCGATTCTTGTATGCTTCCCTTGATTCACCGGACAAATGGTCATTTAATATTTCTCACATTAGAATCAAGCTGTATAATCGACAACACCTTTCTTTTTTTCTTTTTTCTTTCATATTAAAGCACGATGCGTATCGGTTGGATGACGTCTGTACTGACATTAGTTAGTTTTATCGATCCTTTCGTTACTATATTTTGGATTGTAAAAGAACGAAGGTTGCATCTCTTTAGCTAAGAAACTGCCGAGCCTTTCATCGTCCTACCTTTTTTCTTTTCTTGATGAAAAACTCTCTCTCTCTCTCTCTTTTTCCTTTTTCTCCTATCTTCTTCTTCTTCTGTTTCCCTTTCGTCGACTCCAAGGAACAGGAACAGCCACGCTCTTAATGCCAGCTAATTAATAAACTTTTACCATCTCCGTGTTTGTACCCAACCCCATCATCACCCTAGCAATCCACCCACCTCCAACTACCTTCTTACTTGAAGCTGCCTTCGAATTCATCTTCTAACTGGTTTTCTTCAAAGGGTGGCTTCGTTCGTTCGTTCGTTCGTTCGTTCGTTCGTTCGTTCGTTCCTTCGTACGGCCCCCCGTTTCTGTCTTTCTCCTCCTCTTCCTCTCTTAACTTTACCCTTTCGAAAAGGATTTCATACCCAGTTCAAAGACACCGTACAATTCTTCACTTTTCCTTTATCAGATAGTTCCTCATTTTATCTTTTTACATCTTACCTTTTTTACTTAGAATAAAAAGAATATTACATCTTTATACTTATTTGTTAAATGCATTTTCTCTTTTTTTTTTATTCTACATTGAAAAAAAAAGAGAATTGATTTATGTTTTAACGAAGAAAAAGAAGAAGAAGAAGAAATATTAAAAAGTAAATAATTGATTTTCTGTGCAGATATTCTGAGGATTTGGGACCACCAGGAAAGAAGAATTATCTAGAATAGTTCTAGATAAGTTAGATATAGCTAAACATGAGATCTCAAAAGATTCCCGTCCCTTAAATACTTGCACGCAGCGTGCCGTAATACATGTTTGAGTGTGGTGTGTGTGTATGTGTGCGGAGTGTGTGTAGGTGTCTAGAGGAGAGAAAATTATGAGCCAATAAAGGTTTCACGAGGTCGACCGAGAGAAGATAGAGCACGCTTTGCGCCGGTACCGTCGGACCGTCGGAACCGTCGACACAATCTACGACTTCTTGCTACTATAACGACGCGAACGTGGAATAACCATGGAATAACCATGGAATAACCGTGGAATAACCGTGTATTTCTCTTTTTCCTAAATATTCGATTCCAACCGAAGTAGTCCGTGAGTATCGATCACCACGTTTGAAAATAAAAATAATCAAACCAACTGTCTCGCCCGATGATTATTGCGATAAACTACAAGTAGTCCTTTGAGTAGAAATAGTCCTTTTGGTAGTCCAATTAAGTGATCATTAATTATTATTACATGGAAGATCGTCGAGTTATTTACACGTGTGCCGATGTCCTCGATGTTGTAGTACTCTTTCCGTTCACGTGACCACCAGGTTCAGGGAAAAGAGGGTCAAACGAGTAAGCTCACCCTCATTAAGCACCGTATATCAGGACAAAGTCGCGTGGCAATGACGTGTAATTATTACGCGTCAGGTATTACTTGCATATTACCAACATAAAATAACGTTCGGTGAACCTATTAAATACAGCAGAAATGTACGTAAGGTAAGTTTAAAGATAGATCGGTGGCAATTTTATTACACGTATGTAGGAAGGTGTGACACGTTGGAAGGACGTAACGATTCATTGCTTGAATGTTCCCACGAATGAATAAAATGAACGATCATATTTGTTGAATAAAATGAACAAGTTTTACAAGTATCCAACTACCTATTCTATTACTTTTTTCTTGACTTTTTACAAATGTACAAAACCCAATCGAATTCGTACTTTGATTGTAAATCGATGATCAATTAGAAAGTTAATGTACCTAGATATTAACCGTTCGCACGACGAATACGTTTGGAAGAGTGATAATTATTTGAAACACTTTTATTAAGCGAAATCAAGTGAAAGAGAGAGAGAAAGAGAGAGAGAGAGGACACGTTTAAACTGGAAAACGTGGAAGCAGAAAGTGTGCAAAGAAAGTTCCCTCGCTGGATGTCGATTTAAATCGACACACGGATATCTATAGGAGTTTAACGAACAACTAGGTATATTTGCCAGACATAAACGAAATGGCAATCGTTAATTATTATTACATGGAAGATCGGCGACGTCGTCGTCGGGGTACCATGGCGTTGCGGCCAGATATCTATGCTACACTACTACTCTGTAATAATAGGCACTCGCTCAAATATTTCCTCGGTTAAATATTTGATCTCGTTTTTATTCCATTTATTAAAAGCCACGAGCGAAAGGCGCGGGGTCGTTGGGTGGTGGTGGTGGTGGTGCTGCTGCTGCTACTGCTACTACTGCCTGCTGCTGCTAAAAAGAGGGTGTGTGTGTGTGTGTGTGTGTTAGAGAGAGGAACACGGTCCGTACGCTCGCGAAATCCACATCTACGATGATTTAACGAGCCTGCAAATAGAAAGACGACGACGACGACGACGACGACGACGACTTCAGTCGGGTCGCGGAAACTTCCAAGGACCGATTAGATCTTTGCGTTAGTATATTTCCTAACATCTACTTTTTCGATTGGAATAATCTCCGTAACTCTCGAAGATTCGCTAGATTCGTCATTTTGTTCGTGTCAGTCAATAAGCGACTTCTCCAAGTGAGTATTATTAGCATCGGGTGAGCGTAAATCCGAAGGTAATCGAAACACGTATCGCTTTCCGATATCGTATTTGCATGTTACAGGACTCGCGTGTTTTCCTTTCGTGGTCGACGCCGAAGAACGTATGTATATATACCTACATGTTCTGGGAAATCTATGGTAAATAGAACCAAGAGTTCAATAAAATTCTTCCCACGTTTGATATGATTTCGGTGTCAGGGTTTGTAGAAAAATCGGTAATGAACGCGATTGGAAAAAAGTATTGAAGAACGTGATACTTAAAGAGAGAGAGATAAATAGAGTGGATGAAAGAGAGACTGGAACAGACGGATATTGAAAGATCGATCTTCTCTTCGGATAAATGACCTTGGCGTTTTATCAAGATTAGCATCGATAGCGAATTCTTTAACGTTAGAGCTTCGATGGTCAGAGTCAGTCAATATATTCAGGGTGGCGAAGGAGAAAAACAGAGGAGGGAGAAAAAGAGAAAGAGATAGAAAGTCGCACTAGAACGAAGGGTGGAATGATCGTAAAGGAGAGCAAGTGGGAGAGTAGAAAAGTAGGAGAAAGAGAGAGAGAGAGAGAGAGAGAACTAGAGGGTGGAGAAATGGGTTGTACGATCGAGGGGGAGTGGCGCAAACATTTGCCTGCCGCCCGGTAAATTAAAAGCACACAGAGAGGAGAGAATAGAAGTGAGAGGAGAGTGAGTAAGTGAATGAACGACCGAGTGAGGGACGAAGGATCCTAGGTGTCCATAGTTTCCTCTTCTCTTTTCACTATACATCTATTCTTCGTTGCAACTGAAAAAAAAAAAGCGAGATACATGCAAATATGATATATATCTTAAGGTCAATGTATATATTGCGGTCATTGTATAAAATTTCCATTAAGATTAGCTAATGTATACTTTCAGCATTCTTGCAACATATCTCACTTGGCAAATTTTGAAAAAATCATGACCGTCCATTTTGGTCAGTTCATTGATGAAAAATTGTATGTATATTTAAGATGCACATTCTATAAATTGACCGTATATAGAAGATATTTGTATAATTGAAAAAATAAGTTAGGCACACACACGTATTATCTCTCTTTCTTTGATGCCAACATAGGAAGAAGAAATATGTTCGGAAAGTATCTTGATCAAAATTCCATTTGATTTTGTCTTTTTGTTTCTTGTGTAATTTTTTTTATTTTTTTTATTAATCGTTACTTTGTCATCCGCCGTTTATGATTCGTTTGGCAGATTTCCCAGTAGGAAGCAGCATCTCCCAGCAACGCAGCGTCCATCAAACGTCCTCTTGGCTATGCATGTCGTTTGTGGTGGTTTACTACGGAGAAGGGGGTAGTAGCGCGAACCTCTCAGTGTTGACAGACAAATATTTGTCGCGGCATACACCACCACCGTCAACCACCAGCAACTCTACCGCCTCCGACGATCTCGATCTTCCTTCCTTCCTTCCTTCCTTCCGTCCTTCCGTTCTTCCTTTCTTACTTTCTTACTTTCTTCCTTACTTCCGTCCATTCGATCGTTTCTAAGCTTAACACACACAACTTTAACAACAAATGATTTAACGAATACACAAGAGGACAGGTTTATAAGAAAAAAATTGAAAGATACGCGAGCACACGAGTACGTGTATCCTATGTAACACATATACACGCACGCACGCACATACACACGTACATAGAAGAATAGATCTCGAAATAATAGAAGTACGGGAGAGTGTAATCAAGCGGGAAAAGAACACAAGAAACGATGCAAACGTTTGGATCAGAGATGTGCCATCCAATGTCGTGTTTCGCCGACGTGTTAATGCCGAGGACGGGCTCCGAAGCAGGAAACGAGAATCGGAGTGGGTGGAACGGAATGCAATCGAGTCTTTGTTGCGCTTTTGACCCGGAACTCAGCTAGGCCGACTAGTGTCTGCCCGTGTTTGTCCCGCGCAAACTTTGTTTTTGCAAATAGAACCACGTGTTCCTCCGCTCTCTCTCTCTCTCTCTCTCTCACTTCACTCTTCTCCTACTTCCACCTCCACTCTTTCTCATCCTCCATCCTCCTCTCTCCCTCTCCCTCTCCCTTTCCCTGTCCCTCTCTCTCTCCTTCTCCCTCTTTCTCTGAATCAACAGCCCCTTGCGCATACACGCGACAGGTGTCCAATCGGGAAAGCGGAACAAAAAGTAGACTAATTCGAACGCTTTGTGGTCGATTCGATCGAAGATTCGTTCGTCCGATGAATTTCTTCGTCGCACGTTTCGTTCCAAGTCCTGTGATTCGTAATGCGTGTAACGCGTTAACCGAAGAATTTCAAGCTACAAAATGTCCCATCCGTATCGACCTACTTTTTCTAAAATAAAAGTATAAATGGAATAATAGAAAGAAAGAAAAAAATGTGTACCAACGTAGAATGCGTAAATTGAAATTCGAACTTACGTTAGTGAAACTGGAAACTCGAAACTCTCTGGCAGCGTGAGATTTCGAGTCGATGGGTAGGAGGATGTTGTACGATTCGATGGAAGGTAGAAGCGTACTAATTGAAGGGCCGGTTACGAGCAACACGGTAGCAAGTCTCGTGATTAGCACCTTCCTGGACCACACGCGCTGTTGATTCCACGTATTCGACGATGCGTCCTTAACGTCGAGTCAACGAAAAGGGAGAGATAGAAACCTCTCCTTTGAAACTCCCTTTCTAATCGTATAAACAAAGATCTATCATGCGATGTAATTTCGATTATTTAAACGATCGTGAACAATTCGATCAGGTTCTCCTTCGTCCTTTGTATTTTAACTTCCTCAGAAAAGTCTATTCTCAACTTTCTTATTTTATGTTGTAGGACGAGGAGAGAAAAAGATTTCTTCGACACTGGCCGACGAAGGTGAAGTCGACATCGAAGTCGACATCGAAAAATGAAAAGCAAGATATTAAAACGAAAGAAAGAAAGAAAGAAAGAAAGAAAGAAAGAAAAAAAGCCAGCGACTTTCGGAAGTTCATGAAAGTTCGTTTACACAACTCTTTCCCGCGCTGCAATGCATTATGCTCTCGAGACGAGCTGACCTGAAATCTTCGACCTCCGCTGCTCTTCAGGAGGGAAGAGCGACGCAACTCGTCATTCCGGTACACCTTCTACAAGTTTGTCACGCATACAGGGTGCTCCGAAAGTATAGGACCAACGTTACGTTAAATCATTCATCAATCTATCAAACTTATCGCCGTTCGTATCCAGTAATAACAACTTGTCTTAAATTGGCACCGAGGAAATTTCATAAAATTATTTCATAATAAATGCAGCATCTATTTAAATATAAGTAACACTTGATTAATGTCAATTTCAAGGGTATCATCTGTATTAGAAATATATTGGTTACTCTCTATCAGCATTATAATTGATATTTGAAATATTTGTAATTTTTAAAATCCAAAAGAACTTAGAACTCTGGAATGAAAATGAGAAGGACGCTTACTTGTGGCTACTCCTTTAAATTCTTTCGGTAGAAGGAAATATCTATTTTACTTACGATGTCGTTTTCTATACCCGGTACGCAACTCGTCCGACTACTTCGTCCGATGGAGTGCTGCATCCGTGCGCACAACCCTTGAGTGCACTTGAGACCAAGTCGAGAGTCCCTCTCTACATGGGTGGTCCATTCTTCTTACGCATGCATTATATAAGTTCAGTAAAGTTCACACCATAGATAACTGAACGAGAAACTGATCGTTTACCACTATCGGAAGAGACGTGTTCTTTCACAAATACTTACATATTTATTTATTTATCTAATTACTATTAACAATAAATCCATTTTTTTTGTAGATATACATCATACAGAAATAAACTAAGATTTAATCGACATAGTCGATGAATGGATCATCATCATCATCATCATCATTGAATTAAGAATATGTAAAGAATATACTGATGGAAATATAGGGACGACAAAAGGGCCAAAACGTTTGGCGAATTTTGCCTGCTGGTTGTAGATAAGAATAGGCCATATATCGTCCATCCAACATCCCCACTTATATCACCATCACTTTCCAAACTGTTTAAAGATGTCCCATGCAAAATACGTGAACGTTGTTGCTTTAGATGTTACACACATTTTTTTTGTTCATCATTATTAAACATTTCTTAAATTCTTACTAAAAATCAATCAAATTGATTAATGTGAAAGAATTGAATTTAATACGTGATATTTACGAGAATGCATTTTTAATCAATATATTAATACTTTATGAAAATAAATTTGAAATATACATACTTGTATATATTTTTGAAGGAAAGAATTTATCAATGATTTTGTTTTTCAATTGAAATAAATCAATACGAGTTTTCGTTAACGACTGTTGGTTCATTTACAAAGGTTCGTCACAATGGGGACGCCATTATCGTCGATGAACTTCTGGAAGATGCAACGTTGCATTGGGTAACCGTCGATAAAGCAGAATGCGACATAAAAATAATAATTACAAAGATCGAAGATATTTTTTTTTTATTATCTATAGATATCATTTTAATTGATATTATATAATGATTATAAAATTGTATATATAAAAATGATTTATGTATAAAAAATATTTCGTTTTGAGTTAATACAATTATGTGTGTTTGAGCTTTCACGAATTTGAATAAATACATAAATTAAAACGATAATACTTTCATTGAAATTATATAATGACATTTATAATAGATTAAACTCATAAATATCACATTAAATTATTCAAAAAGAAACTTGTGTTGAATTCAAGAAATAATAACAGATTTTATTAATGAAAACGAAACTGTTCATTGATACGATTCACGAATTACATTTCTCGTTTACTTGCATA